TGCGCTAGGTCGCTCACGCTAACACCGCCACCACACAAATACACGCCCACACACACGAACACACATTCACACGCACACACACAAGTTCACACTCACAAACACCCAAACATCCACACACACACACACACACACACACACACACATTTCAAGCAGACTGCCTGGAGTCTGGAAAGTATTTCAAGCTCTATTGAAAGTCTCCAAGTCAGCGCTCAAACGAAAGTACAGTCTGGCGGGCAAATTGGACAAGTCTGATCTAAAGGGAGACGTAGGACTGGCTTCACCTGATGCGGAGATCGGCTAGGAATCACAATGAGGCAGAGTCTGACTGCAAGCGTGCAGCTTTCGTGGCTACAGCTCCAGCCAAATGTGTTCAGACATGCCTGGCATATCTCAACCGTGGGTCCCAGTCACTCAGGCTTAATCTATTTGAACAAGTCCGGAATAACTCAACTGCTCTGTGGGTGACTAGGGGGTTGTCAGTGTCTAGGAAGTTGTGAGTGACTAGGGGGTTGTGAGTGACTAGGGGGTTGTGAGTGAATAGAGAGTTGTGAGTGACTAGGGGGTTGTGAGTGACTAGGGGGTTGTGAGTGACTAGGGGGTTGTGAGTGACTAGGGGGTTGTGAGTGACTAGGGGGTTGTGAGTGACTAGGGGGTTGTGAGTGACTAGGGGGTTGTGAGTGACTAGGGGGTTGTGAGTGACTAGGGGGTTGTGAGTGACTAGGGGGTTGTGAGTGACTAGGGGGTTGTGAGTGACTAGGGGGTTGTGAGTGACTAGGGGGTTGTGAGTGACTAGGGGGTTGTGAGTGACTAGGGGGTTGTGAGTGACTAGGGGGTTGTGAGTGACTAGGGGATTGTGAGTGACTAGGGAGTTGTGAGTGACTAGGGAGTTGTGAGTGAAGAGTAATTATGTGTATTATTTTAGTTCAATAAAAGTTTATCTTGTGCATTCGAACTTTGGTGTATGAGTCGAAATGCTCCCGTTGAGCGGATTTTGTGGAGACAAGGCGTGGAGGGTCCATCGTATTATTTGCCACAGGGCCGACATGTCGAGCAGTGAATTGTGGCGGAATTGTGAGGAAAGAATTGTGTAGTGCCTCGTGATGATTCTGTCTTGGGTGACGACGAGAGGAGACGAATTATCACCAATGAAACAAGACAGTAAGAAGTATGTTGTGGACTCACGCCGAGTCAAGGTTAGGTGTTCCCTTTCCTGTGACACCGCCTTGGTAGAATATTATAGTGCAAAGGTGGAGCTTCAGATCGACATTCGTCCTGTATCACCAATTCATGCTCATCATCATGTTGTGTTGCGTCTAAATAAACGGGCTGAAGCACGAGTAAAGAAAGGCTCTTCCCGTCTTGTTGATGTGATTGGCTGCGGACTGTTCTCAGTGTTAGTGATGTGATTGTTTGCGGACTGTTCTCAGTGTTGCCAGATGTTAGTGATGTCAGTGTTAGTGGTGTGATTGTTGCGGACTGTTCTCAGTTGTTATGGTGGTGTGTTTAGTGATGTGATTGGCTGCGGACTGTTCTCAGTGTTAGTGATGTGATTGGCTGCGGACTGTTCTCAGTGTTAGTGATGTGATTGGCTGCGGACTGTTCTCAGTGTTAGTGATGTGATTGGCTGCGGACTGTTCTCAGTGTTAGTGATGTGATTGGCTGCGGACTGTTCTCAGTGTTAGTGATGTGATTGGCTGCGGTCTGTTCTCAGTGTTAGTGATGTGATTGGCTGCGGACTGTTGCCAGTGTTAGTGGTGTGATTCGCTGCGGACTGTTGCCAGTGTTAGTGGTGTGATTGGCTGCGGACTGTTCTCAGTGTTAGTGATGTGATTGGCTGCGGACTGTTGCCAGTGTTAGTGATGTGATTGGCTGCGGACTGTTCTCAGTGTTAGTGATGTGATTGGCTGCGGTCTGTTCTCAGTGTTAGTGATGTGATTGGCTGCGGTCTGTTCTCAGTGTTAGTGATGTGATTGGCTGCGGTCTGTTCTCAGTGGTGTGATTGGTGTTGGTGGTGTAATAGGACTATGAGAACTATGTTAGCCTAGTACTTCCGGGCAGTAATCCCTATTAGTCGCCAGGAGTTCTAAAAAGGGAGCTGTTAACTTAGCTCTATTAAGGATAATTTTGACACGATAGTTTACCAAATCTAATAGATACTGTAAATGTTTTTTAGTCTTTGGTTTTTAGGATTTTAGATATAATACTCTCCTCTGTGATTAAAAATTGCATGCGCGTGTAGCAAACTTATGATTTATTTTAGTAGACAGTCAAATTGGCTTTTTGTTGCATCCCACAGCATAGGAGACAAGAAATATTTAGTGGACAAGACATGACAACAAGAGGAGACAAGGCACGTTTAGTAGGCAGGACATCACACAAAAAGAGAAAAGACACATTAAGTAGACAAGACACCACAACAAGAGAAAACAAGACACATTTAGTAAAAAACAAGACTTCACAACAAGAGGTGACAAAGCACATTAGGTAGACGGGCCTAGGAGAGAGAATACGACACATTTAGTAAACAAAACCATACAATAAGAGGAGACAACACACATTTAGTAGACAAGACATCACAACAAGAGGAGACAAGACCAATTTAATAGACAAGATGACGCACCAGAAGAGACAAGACGCATTTAGTGGACAAGACATCATAATAACAGTAGACAATACACATTTAGTAGTCACGACACAATAAGAGGAGACAAGACGCATTTAGTTGATAAGACATCACAACAAGAGGAGACAAGACACGTTTAGTAGACAAGACATCACATCAAGAGGAGACAAGACACATTTAGTTGATAAGACATCACAACAAGAGGAGGCAAGACACGTTTAGTAGACAAGACATCACCACAAGAGGAGACAAGACCAATTTAATAGACAAGATGACGCAACCAGAAGAGACAAGACGCATTTAGTGGACAAGACATCACAACAAGAGGAGACAAGACACGTTTAGTAGACAAGACATCACATCAAGAGGAGACAAGACACATTTAGTAGACTAGACATCGCAACAAAATGACACAAGACACATTTAGTAGACAGGACATCACAACAAGAGTAGACAAGACTACACAACAAAAGAAGACTAGGCACTGTTAGTAGAAAAGCCAAGGAGAAAAGACTAGACACATTTAGTAGACAAGACAACAGAATAAATGACAAAGCATATTTAGTCAGCAAGACACCAGTAAAAAGATAAGACAAAACATTTTCATGCAATAAAATTATTGGTGAAATGTATGTCTCTATCAGACAGGACAGAACAACAATAGAAGACAGGAAACACTGACATAAGGGAGCTACTGATGAAGTTATTGTCTCAACCAGCTAAGAGAAAGGTCACAACAACATCCCCAGGAAAACAAACTCAATCAGCAGTCAGCTAATCTAACAGATAAAGACCCGCTAATGCTTCTGATTGTCCTAATTGAGTTTCCTGGGCTGGAGACATTCGACCAGACAATGGTAAATGTCACAGATGTTGCTACAGCTGCTTGTGGTTAAAGAGTCCTGCACTCAAACTTCTCCGACCTTCTCCAGACCAATCGATGAGCGTCTTCACGCGTATTGCCGGTCGGTCTCTCAGCTGACGCAGTGTTTATCGTTGACGTTCTTCTATTGCCGGTCGGTCTCTCAGCTGACGCAGTGTTTATCGTTGACGTTCTTCTATTGCCGGTGGGTCTCTCAGCTGATGCAGTGTTTATCTAGATACAAACTAGATACAGAGAAAGATAAACATACACACGAATACACACCGACACAACACACGGAAACACATAATGACAGATACAGACACACACACACACACATAGAGACAAACACACACACACATATAGAGACACACACATACACACACACATAGAGACAAACACACATACACATATAGAGACACACACATACACACACACACACACACACACATATAGAGACACACACACACAAACACACACACATAAAGAGGCAGACCTTTAACCTGGTGGCAGTATTAAATGGTTTTTCTGAGACATAAGCCCGTAGTTCCACGTAATCAGTCTCTGTGGCAAATGACTGCCCAAATACTGCAATACTCCGTAACGCCAGGCTGTCTGTCATTTGTCATTTCATTTAATGATGAGTCCCCCCCCCCCCAACCCCCCTCCCCTCCTTATCCCTGTCGTCGTCCTATGATCTGTTAGTAGACAACTGCGGTCTATACAATCGTTGGAGGTTGTTAAAAACTAAAGTTGTACTCGCATTTACATAATAAAGAATTGTCTATGAAATTTTCACTTTTTAATTGAGATAAGAACGAGACTTCTCGAGAGCTATATAAACCCTTTTCTGGTGTACAGAAGTGGATCATGGACATTTGGCCGAACAGTGAAAAATTATGTGAAAGGGGCGAAGATACGGTTTTATAGACGAATTATGAGAATACAACGTACAGATAACAAGAGTCAGGAAGATACCTTGGTTTGAAAGGAATCTACCTGAAGTTCACCAGATTCTCCATTGAGAGTCACGTGACTACACAAACACAAACGATGTGTGAAAAGAATACAAAATCTATATGAACAAGGGTATATGGTGCTAGATCATAGAGTTGTCTAAGGGAATAAAGGAACTACATCAGAGCAAGGGTATATGGTGCTAGATCATAGAGTTGTGTGGGAATAAAGGAACTACATCAGAACAAGGGTATATGGTGCTAGATCATAGGGTTGTGTAAGGGAATAAAGGAACTACATCAGAACAAGGATATATGGTGCTAGATCATAGGGTTGTGAAAGGGAATAATGGAACTTTATCAGAACAAGAGTATATGGTGCTAGATCACTGAGGTAAATTATCGCTTTGCAAACATCGCCTTTTTAAAAATACTATACTACCCTTTGACACAATCATAGAACTTTCTATCATGTTTAACCTATTCACACAATCATAGAACTTTCTATCCTGTTTAACCTATTCACACAATCATAGAACTTTCTATGATTGAACTTTGAATGATGCAAAACCGATTGACTCAATTATCAAACTTTCTACAATGCTAAACCTAGTCACACAATCATTGAACTTTCAATAATGCCTAACCCAAACACACAATCATCGAACTTTCAGTAATGCTCAACCTATTCACACAATCATCAAACTTTCAATGTTAAACGTATTCACGCAATCACCGAACTTTCAGTAATGCTAAACATATTGACACAATCATCGAACTTTCTACAATGCAAGAGGTATTCACAATATGATCACACTTTCCAATATGTTAAAAGTATTCACAACCATCGAACTTACAATAGTGCTACAAGGATTCACACAATCATCGAACTTACAATAGTGCTACAAGGATTCACACAATCATCGAACTTACAATAGTGCTACAAGGATTCACACAATCATCGAACTTATCATAGTACTATACAAATTCATACAATCATCGAACTTGCTTTACACTAACGCTGAACGTATTAACGAAATCAAATCGTACAGTCCCGCAAATTACCTACAATCGATGTTTAAGTACAATGAGGCGTGTGGCAGCGTCTAGGGCAAGGTAAAAGCTAAAGTCGGCAGATGTGATCCAGCCTCATTGCACACGGTTATAAACCATAAGTGCTCTGCCACCAGTACCGATTGCTGATGAGAAACTGTCCGCCTGTGTCGCTGTCCGCACGCAATTCCGTAGCTTCAGCGACGTTCCTCCATTTACCCCAGAGTGTTTACTCTGGTACCAATTACTTGAAGGCTGGGCAAACCTCCGATTTCGAACACCGGCCAGACTAGAAGACCGGCTAGGGCAGACTTAAAATATATCCTGAAGGTACTTGCCAACTCAAGAGTTCAACAGTCTGTCACAGTCAGTCACAGATATCTCCTACCTCCATACATGCAGTCATGTGTTACTTGAATATGTGTTACAGTCTGTCACAGTCAGTCACAGATATCCCCAACCTCCATACACGCAGTCATGTGTTACTGGAATATGTGTTACAGTCTTGTCACATTCAGTCACAGATATCTTCAACCTCCATACATGCAGTCATGTGTTACTGGAATATGTGTTACAGTCTGCCACTGTCAGTCACAGATATCCCCAAAAACAATACCTGCAGTCATGTGTTACTGGAATATGTGTTACAGTCTGCCACAGTCAGTCATGTGTAACAGTCTGCCACAGTTAGTCATGTGTTACAGCTGCCACAGTCAGTCATGTGTTAGAGTCTGCCACAGTCAGTCATGTGTTACTGTCTGCCACAGTCAGTCATGTGTTACAGTCTGCCACAGTCAGTCACGTGTTACAGGCTGCTACAGTCAGTCATGTGTTACAGTCTGCCACAGTCAGTCATGTGTTACAGTCTGCCATAGTCAGTCATGTGTTACAGGCTGCCACAGTCAGTTATGTGTTACAGTCTGTCACAGTCAGTCATGTGTTACAATCTGCCACAGTCAGTCATGTGTTACAGTCTGCCACGGACAGTCATGTGTTACAGTCTGCCACAGTCAGTCATGTGTTACAGTCTGCCACAGTCAGTCATGTGTTACAGTCTGCCACGGACAGTCATGTGTTACAGTCTGCCACAGTCAGTCATGTGTTACAGTCTGCCACAGTGAGCAATGTGTTACAGTCTGCCACAGTCAGTCATGTGCTACAGTCTGCCACAAACAGTCATGTGTTACAGTCTGCCACAGTCAGTCATGTGTTACAGTTCGCCACAGTCAGTCATGTGTTACAGTCTGCCACAGACAGTCATGTGTTACAGTCTGCCACAGTCAGTCATGTGTTACAGTCTGCCACAGTCAGTCATGTGTTACAGTCTGCTACAGTCAGTCATATGTTACAGTCTGCCACAGTTAGTCGTGTGTTACAGTCTGTCCCAGTCAGTAATGTGTTACAGTCTGCCACAGTCAGTCATGTGTTACAGTCTGCCACAGTCAGTCATGTGTTACAGGCTGCCACAGTTAGTCATGTGTTACAGTATGTCCCAGTCAGTCATGTGTTACAGTCTGTCCCAGTCAGTCATGTGTTACAGTATGTCACAGTTAGTCATGTGTTACAGTCTGTCCCAGTCAGTCATGTGTTACAGTCTGCCACAGCCAGTCATGTGTTACAGTCTGTCCCAGCCAGTCATGTGTTACAGTATGCCACAGTCAGTCATGTGTTAGAGTCTGTCTCAGTCAGTCATGTGTTTCAGTATGTCACAGTCAGTCTTGTTACAGTCTGTCCCAGTCAGTCATGTGTTACAGTCTGTCCCAGTCAGTCATGTGTTACAGTCTGTCCCAGTCAGTCATGTTTTACAGTCTTCCCAGTCAGTCATGTGTTACAGTCTGTCCCAGTCAGTCATGCGTTACAGTCTGTCCCAGCTCTTTACCCTTACATCACATAATTTGTTCTGTGCTTCCCTCTCAACATTTAGGTCTTACTGTCTCTGTCTGTCTGTCTGTCTGTCTGTCTGTCTGTCTGTCTGTCTGTCTGTCTGTCTGTCTGTCTGTCTGTCTGTCTGTCTGTCTGTCTGTCTGTCTGTCTGTCTGTCTGTCTGTCTGTCTGTCTGTCCATATGATTGTCTCTATATTTAACTCACTTTATCTCTATGTCATTACATCAAAGTCCCAAGTCAATGCCACCAAGCTTCAGGTCATTGCCACCAGGTCCCAAGTCAATGCCACCAAGCCAAATGTCATTGCCGTCAATGCCACCAAGTTAAAAGTCATTGCCACCAAGTCCCAAGACAAGTCTCACAAAGCCTTTAGTAGAGTCGATGGACGAAAGCCTCATCAACATGTTGCGTCGTTACACATCACACAGGACTGGCAGTGGGTTCTGGCAGCTCGGTGTGTTCACTAAATTGTTTCAATATGGAATGGAAGCCCGGCACTCGGGTACCTTTGGCCTCTCTCATTCAGATTTCTCTGAGCTGAGGTTTTACCTCATTTGTGATGCTACCAGTCTGTGTTGAAACAAACATACGCACAACACTGAGACAACCCTACCCATGCACCCATACGGGATCCTTTCCCGTGAGCGCCGACCACGCCCAAGTTCACGAACAGGAAAATATTCTACCCCTCCACCTCCCCACCCCACCTCACACACACCCCACACACGCACTCGCATGTTGTGGATTCTTTTTTGTTTCCGGATCTCACGGTTACTCAAAATGGTTGCCAAGGAATGATTTGGGAAGTAAAAGCAGCTGTTGTTATGTTGGCCACATCAAATCCCCATTTGTCCTCCATTTGGTCTACAGAAATATAAATCTGGTAACCTGTGCTGGATGTGACATTGGCGCGGACAAGGTGCTTCCTCTAGCTCGACAACAGACACAATGAAAGCCGGCATTTTATGTGCATTTATGAATGAATCACAAGTCTGACATAACTAGCTTCACTTAGAAGATCTTACACACACACACACACACACACACACACACACACACACACACACACACACACACATACACACACACATACACACACCCCGCACACAAACACCACACACACGCACGCACACACACATACACACAGCCACCCCTCCCTTAAGCACACACAGCCACACACACACATACCCATACACACACGTGCGCACGCTCACACACACGCATCCCCACATGGAACCACTTGAGTGCCAGATAATCCCCTGACATGAAGATGCCGTTTGCAGACGCAGTAATCCCCAGTGGTGGGCAGCCGATGGCCAGCAACTGTTCTTGATTAAAATGCTCATTAAGATTCGATTTCTCGGACAGAATTTCACGGGTCCCAAAATGTCTCCAAAGATCTGGAATTAGTGACCTCATCGCTCATTAAGGGTGCTCGTATGTGCGGGCGGGGCGGGGAAACACAGCATACTGTTGAACACCGTGTGTGTTTGTGTATGTGTGTGCTATGTCAGTGAATGTCATACAGCGCAAGTACAGAGATTAAAAAAACCCACCTGCTTTGTCAGGAGATTGGGGGCAGCAGTTGTCATCACAGGTAATGAAGACTGACACGAGAGCGTGCTCGCCAATGTAGCCGCCGATAAACCCAACTGCAGACCGGCGGCCTTAGATGTGATATCTAGCACCAGTGTTGGTGTGAGACCACACGCTTGTTCCTACTTCTAGAAACTTAGTAGCCTTGTCACTGGGAAACCGGTTCTGCACACATCTGTACCAGAGTTATATCACCTGTTAATCAAGGCAAGCTGTGGAAATCCAAAACCAGACACATTTCGCACCAGCAACTTCCGGGTATAGACCTCACGTTTTAAAAATAAAATTGAGGAAGTGTACTCGGAGAGAGATGACATTGGGGAAGTCTGGAACGATTTAAAAAAGTACTCGGAGAGAGATGACACTGGGAAAGTCTGGGAACGATTTAAAAAAGTACTCGGAGAGAGATGACACTGGGGAAGTCTGGGAAAGATTTAAAAAAAAACTCGGAGAGAGATGACACTGGGGAAATCTGGGTAAGATAAAAAATAAGTTTGAGCGGAAAGAGATGACACTGGGGAAGTCTGGAAAAGATAAAATAAATGTACTCGGAGAGAAATGACACTGGGGAAGTCATGGAAAAAAAAACAAGTATATTTGGATAGAGATGACACTAGGGAAGTCGGGAAAAAGAAAATGAATGCACCCAGAAAGAGAGAGAGAGAGAGAGAGAGAGAGAGAGAGAGAGAGAGAGAGAGAGAGAGAGAGAGAGAGAGAGAGAGAGATGACACTGTAAAAGTCTGGGTTAGACTGAATAATTACTCGGAGAAAGATGACACTGGGGAAGTCTTGGAAAGCGAAAGTAATTTCTCGGAGAGAGATGGTACTGGAAAAGTCTTGGAAAGATAAAATAATTTCTCGGAGAGAGATGTTATTGGGAAAGTCTGAGAAAGATCAGATTGGCGAAGTGTAATCTGTCAAAGATAACATTGAAAACGACTGAGTGAAATTACAATGGAGAAGACAGGAAAGAATCGGATTGGAGAAGCCATGGGGGGGGGGGGGGGGTGTGATTTGAGAAACCAGGAAAGGATCGACTGGAAAAGCTAGGGAGTGTTGTATTTGGAGAAACCAGGCATGGGTGTGGGGAAGTAAACCAGGGAGGGATGGCACTGGGGAAGCCAGAAAGGGATGGGATATGGGAAACAAGAGATGAATGAGATTGGAGAAGCCATGAAGTAATAATGATTAGAGAAGCTAGGTAAGAATGTGATACTGGGAAAGCTCGGGAAGGTTGGGATTGGAGATGCCATGGAGGGATTCGATTAGAGAAGTAGAGGGATGCATAAGATTGGGGAAGAAATTAAGGGAAGCTAAATCAGGAAACTTGGAAACCAGCCTAGAGTCTCTGCAGCAGTATCATAGAACTGTTTTATGGATTATCTCCATGTGTAGTGTGGATATGGTTGGATTATCTCCATGTGTAGTGTGGATATGGTTGGATTATCTCCATGTGTAGTGTGGATATGGTTGGATTATCTCCATGTGTAGTGTGGATATGGTTGGGATTATCTCCATGTGTAGTGTGGGATATGGTTGGATTATCTCCATGTGTAGTGTGGATATGGTTGGATTATCTCCATGTGTAGTGTGGATATGATTGGATTATCTCCATGTGTAGTGTGGATTTATGGTTGGATTATCTCCATGTGTAGTGTGGATATGATTGGATTATCTCCATGTGTAGTGTGGATATGGTTGGATATCTCCATGTGTAGTGTGGATATGGTTGGATTATCTCCATGTGTAATGTGGATATGTTTGGATTATCTCCATGTGTAGTGTGGATATGGTTGGATTATCTCCATGTGTAGTGTGGATATGGTTGGATTATCTCCATGTGTAGTGTGGATATGGTTGGATTATCTCCATGTGTAGTGTGAATATGGTTGGATTATCTCCATGTGTAGTGTGGATATGGTTGGATTATCTCCATGTGTAGTGTGGATATGATTGGATTATCTCCATGTGTAGTGTGGATATGGTTGGATTATCTCCATGTGTAGTGTGGATATGGTTGGATTATCTCCATGTGTAGTGTGGATATGGTTGGATTATCTCCATGTGTAGTGTGGATATGGTTGGATTATCTCCATGTGTAGTGTGGATATGGTTGGATTATCTCCATGTGTAGTGTGGATAGGTTGGATTATCTCCATGTGTAGTGTGGATATGGTTGGATTATCTCCATGTGTAGTGTGGATATGGTTGGATTATCTCCATGTGTAGTGTGGATATGGTTGGATTATCTCCATGTGTAGTGTGGATATGGTTGGATTATCTCCATGTGTAGTGTGGATATGATTGGATTATCTCCATGTGTAGTGTGGATTAATGGTTGGATTATCTCCATGTGTAGTGTGGATATGGTTGGATTATCTCCATGTGGTATGGTTGGATTCTCATTGTATGTGGATATGGTTGGATTATCTCCATGTGTAGTGTGGATATGGTTGGATTATCTCCATGTGTAGTGTGGATAGGTTGGATTATCTCCATGTGTAGTGTGGATATGGTTGGATTATCTCCATGTGTAGTGTGGATATGGTTGGATTATCTCCATGTGTAGTGTGGATGGGATGGTTGGATTATCTCCATGGTAATGTGGATATGGTTGGATTATCTCCATGTGTAGTGTGGATATGGTTTGGATTATCTCCATGTGTAAGTGTGGATATGGTTGGATTATCTCCATGTGTAGTGTGGATATGGTTGGATTATCTCCATGTGTAGTGTGGATATGGTTGGATATATCTCCATGTGTAGTGTGGATATGATTGGATTATCTCCATGTGTAGTGTGGGATATGGTTGGATTATCTCCATGTGTAGTGTGGATATGGTTGGATTATCTCCATGTGTAGTGTGGGTGGTGGATATGGTTG